GAGGATAGCTATGCTGGAATAATTAGGCGGAAACTAAAGGTCTCTAGTGATTTTAAGTGTCACAACAAGGAAACATGTTGAAGGGAAGTATCACCATATATATATTGTAGGTTTTCAACGTAGTGTTAATATGATTGTTGATCCCTTGACTAAGCCTCTTAGTCAGGAGGTATTTGGCAAGCATGTTAAGGCTATGGATTTACGAATATTTGAATGATCGTTTGGGACAAGTGGGAGATGTTGGAATTATGTGTCCTGCAACTATATTCAAATTACTATGAATTACTAATATTCGGAATACCTCAGGAATTACACATGTATTTATGCATGAAATTACTTTACATGATTATCATGAAATTATTACTTGTTGGAACGTACTTAAGTTGTATGCTTAAGGAAGCTGGTCGATTATCAGTGGAATATAATATACAATTTATATTGGAAAGACTACATGGATACACTCATAATTGAAAGGAGCTAGATCATATAGTTATATTACAGCCCTAATATTTATCTACATAATTAGAGGAATTTACACTCTATTATAGCGCTTTGCTCACAAGGATGTGCTACGGGGACACAACGGGTAGAATCCGTTAACAGACAAATTTGATCGTGGTTGATAATTTGTAATTTGATCTGGAGTCTATTTTGAAAAACTAGTTAAAAAGATTATGAATCCTATCTACATAAGAGATAGACTCTTTGAAATGACGGTATAAAATGGTCCCTAACTCCTAACTTCAGATATGCGAATTGTAAGCGGCACCACGGATAAGTGTAGAGGAATAGAAGGTAGACCACAAAATTATTTCCAACAAGTCAATAGTGTAGTGTGTAGAGGTTACTAGCAGAATCGTACCAACAATGGACGAATTTATGGGGTACTCCTGTACCGCCAAAACTAAAGGTTTTCTTGTGGCGTTAGGCCCAACACTCAATCCCAACCTTTGATGTTTTGGAGCACAGGAACATGGCTGATACACACCGCTGCCCACTTTGTGGCTTCGATGATTCTTGGTGTCCTGGTGGAACGCTCCTTGGCTAGATGTGTCTGCGGCCTGGCTTTTTTTTTAAAAGAAGAAAGACCCCGGTCTCTGCATCTGGGTGATGCATGCAATCACTTTATTAATTATTAAAAAGACCTTACAAAGAAATACAGCAGTAAGTCTGAAGCCACCGTCTAAGCAACATCTGTCGATACTCCTATCCAGTTGATAAAGGGATGCTGATAGTCCGGGTATAATACCAAACAGACCTCGCAGCCAAGCCTAACATCTAAGACCTGAGGCCCAAACCGAGCCACTTGCCGGGTATGGGGCACACTTCGGTCCAGCGCGCTCTCAGAGGCCGACGTCGCCAACTGCCACCACTCCATTTTCAGAGTTGTACTGACGTATCAACCTTGCCCGGTCTAGCTGTCGTCGACGCCACCATGACGCCAGACAACGCCACCATCCTGCGCTCGTCCATCAACACACGCCCAGCAGTGAGACCCCGCTGCTCCATGCCGTTGAGACCCGCTGTTGTCGACGTGTCAGATGCAACGCAACTCCTCCTTCGCGAACACCACCTGCTGCCACTGGTCCCATTCCCTCCACCTGCAGTTCCTCTGCACTCCCAGCCGAGCCCCAGTGTTGCTGACGACAACTCGAGGAAGGTCACGACGCGAACAACGCCGCTGCCGCCAGATCCGAAGAGGATTGAAGATTTTCATCCGGCCGAGGATCGGGGTGGGTAGATTGGGCCCCCACCTGTGCCTTCATGAAGGAAAGCGGCGCCCATGGGCGTCGCCGCCGCCGGGCCGGCCAGACCGGCCAAGGTTTCCCCCGGACCCAAAGTACACCACCAGGGCTCATCATCACCAGAGCCTGCAACCGCAAACCACCGGGACGACGAGAGAGGCAGCAGGAGAAAGGGGAACCTCCAGATCTTATGCAACGGAGCACCGCGCCACGGCCGGACTCCACTAGCGACCCGCCGCCCACGCGGCCGAGCACACTGGTCAGCGTCGCCTGCAGACGTCGGCAGCCACCGGACGACGCCGCCTTGCCGACAGGAAGGACGCCCAAGGATCCACGGGCCACCGATGCGATACTTTGGCCCGCAGGCCGACGGGATCGATTCGGGCGCCGAGATCCCCGCCGCCACCTTCCCCGGTGCCCGCGCGGGCTTTGCCGGCGGCCGTCTCCGGTGGTGGCGAGGGAGGGAAGGGGGATGAGGGGAGGCGGCGCAGCGGAAGATCTGATCGCCCCCGAGTCGCCCATGGGTACGCCCTTAATCAAAATATCTCCTTTGATCAACTTGATTGAAACAAGGATCCCAGATGCAAAACTTTGGCTCTCTGCTATGCAGGAATCACTATCAAATGTGCACTACGTTGAGATGATAGTCACGATGTGGTTCGCGAGACGGAAAGCGACTTGCGAGCATGAATTTCAGTCGCCATTATCAACCCACTTGTTCGTCAAGAATTTCTTGTGTGAAGCTTGACATCATCTCTCCAGAGGAAATAACAGTGCAACCGGCCCCAGCCCAAGTTTCTGTTCGTCAACCTTGGATCAGACCCCCTCGAGGTATTCTGATATTCAATGTCGATAGTGTTGTGGTAATGAATAAGAACTCTAATAAGTGCCGCACGTGTGGGCTAAAGGAGGTCGGGCCATACGTCCTTCTAGCCATCAATTGTGACACGTCAGGCTTTTTTTTCACACATGCATGCAAATAGGGACAAAAACAGATGATGTTAGCAGAAATTTGTTAGGTTTTCAAACTTTAAAATATTTTATCTCTTAAATGAAAAATCCGATTGAAAATCCGTTTTCACCATTAAATCCGACATGACAAAGACTTCAAAACTGCTCCCTCTGTTTCATAATATAAGAGCGTTTTTAACATTGGTGAAGTGTCAAAAACGCTCTTATATTATGGGACAGAGGGAGTAAATCTCATATCGATATGTTTCGACGATATTTTTTGGCGGTCAAAACTTGTCATGTCTATTGCACATAAATTGTCATAGTGTTTACACTGAAGTTGTTGTTTCAACTACTTTTTCTTCTACATTTAAAGTAAATTTTGACATGTTATAAAAAAGGGAATTAAGAAACTAAACTTGCCGTAATGAATTAATAAAATTTATCATGATCCATGAAATAATTTTGACATGGTTCATAATTAAAAAGAATCCATTGTCAATTACTTTAAAAATTGACTCAAATTTGCCATGAACGAGTAACTAAAATTTCCATGGTAAATTACTTAAATTTTGCCATGATACATGCACTAAAATTTACCATGGTTCATACAAAAAAATAATGTGCATGGTCAAAGTACTAGAACTGTCATGGTCAAAATACTAAAATTGTCATGATTTATAAACTAAAATTGTCATGATGAATTACTAAAAATTGCCATGATCCACGAATTAAATTTCCTGTGGTTAATTACTAAAAATTGTCATGATCAATTAATAAAATTTGCCGTGAAAAGTAGTTGAAATACAATTGTAGCTTTAAATCTAAAAGAAAGAAAAAAGTAGATGACACTTATCATTTGGGAAGAATAATGATGGAGGTGCAGCGGCAGTGGTTTGCCGTGACCAACAAGGAAGCTACATGGGATCTTTTTCCATCACTTTTCCTGGAATTACTGGGCTAATGTTGAAGTTACTGGAATTACTGAAGCCTCGTCATATTTGTTAGCAGGGTGCTAATGTTGGAAGTTACCAGGATGGCCATGTCATAGTTATCACGCTGCTCATGCCAAAGTTATCAAGCCTAAAATTAACTTTTTTATTGATGGCAGGCAGTTCAAGTTAAAGATTGTACGTTAATTGCTCGGATCATCATAAATAGAAAAGGGTTAGCATTCTGGCAGGCAGTTCAGGTTAAAGGTTGTACTGTACTAGTATAACGAAAAGAATCACAAGTAATCTATTGTGTACAAAACAATACAAACAATTACCAATTTGCTCTACATGCTACTGATTTCCCGCAACATATGCGCTCAGAATTACATTTTGAAGCACATGTATGACCTAACAATTTTTACTCGTATTATGTAACCTTTGGTGCACTGAATCACATCAGAATGGACGGCCAGTCCACAACTCTAGTACAACAACGGATCCAGGGCATCATCTTGTTACTTATGCATTTGCTGCGGTAAGTACTCCGTACAAACAACAGCATAAACATGTCATGAGCACATTTGAGACTGCAATGCCATGCCTATCATGGCACTTTCCGTCGGTGCCGTGCAGCTGGAATCGGAATCGATGGCTCAAGGCCCACAACTACAGCAGCCAATCATCAATCATCTCCCATTAGGGCTCGTTTGGTTCCACGGGATCCCCCCGGGATCCTCGTCATTTCCCCGGGCGAGAGACCCGCCTGGCATCTTCAACCCGGTTTTTCCAGCGGCCCATTTGGTGTCATCGGGGAAAAGGGATTTCTCGGCCCGATCCCCGCGAAATCCCCGGGCTGCTGACCCCTACCTCCACACACCAGAAGATTTCTCCCTGTCTCTCACGACGCGACGACACGAGCTCCTCCGCCTCCGGTCCTCTGCCTCTTTCTGGCGACCTCAGACGCCATGGCTCACGGGACCTACTCCGCGTCCGAATGCCCTCAACGGCCTACGTCCTCCATCAGTCCGACCCCCTCCAGCATCCACCCCTCCTCAAGCTACAACAATGGTTGCTTCTGTTCCACTTGGTGAGAATCACCTACTTGATTTCATCCATCTCCTTCTCCTCTCCCTCCCTTCCTCTGCTCCCATGGTTTCCTAAGATTCCATTAGATCTGGGCTACGAGATTTCACATTCTGATATTGCCTACGGGGGATTTCTCTTCCCTCCCCCTTGATGTCCAAATGTCAATGGGTATTTTCACATAGTGGGAGGGGATCCCGTATGGGCAGGGAAATCCCACTTCAGGGGTTTACTACCCAGGATTTTCTGTTCCCAACAACCAAATGAGCCCTTAAAGCTCAGACCATTACTTCTTCCTGATGATAGTAGGCACACCGTAACAAACAGGAGATGCGCCGATCATAAGCGGAAGCCTGCAAGCACGCCTAGCTTCACTTATATGCGTAGCTATTCTCCTGTGCCTGCAATTACAGCAGTTACTACTGCCATCTATCTCTCCTGTCTGCTGCTGCTTCTGACCTTGTCGTGTACCTTTTCGTCTTGGCCTACCATTATCCTTTGCAGCAATCGTTGTGGACTCAAATTCTTGTGTTAGTGGGCGGCAACATTTAGGGCAATTCTTGGCGGCCTTAAATTTTTCTTGCAACCATGAATTCAGCAATGCTTTACTAAATCGATCGATATCTTTATCCGAGACGTCCCAGAGATTTGCAATGACAGAAGGAGAACCAGCAAATAAATAAGACAAAGGTGCCCCTTGAGGAGCATAACCGCCTTTGCAATGAAGTGTCCCACTACTGCAACCCATAAGAAGAGCAGCTGCGCAGTTATCTAACTTCTCAATTTCCTTTCCAGAGACATATTGACTTCCTGCAACATTGTTCCAGACTAGCCGTGTTAGTACAACAGGTACCTACCTGAGCTACCAGTTTTTAACAAGTACTCCCTCTGTAAACTAATATAAGATTGTTTAGATCACTAAAGTAGTTATCGATCTAAACGATCTTATATTAGTTTACAGAGGGAGTATCTGAATAGTGGACACTTCTTACTTAGTGGTTGGAGTTCATATTCCTAGACAGTAATAGCATGAACTTGAGACATTAGTTGGCACTAGCATCACAAGCAGTAGTTTCTATTGATAAATATGCCACTACTACTAGTTGCGGGAATATTTTGCAATATATTCAGTTAGAACTGGTTGTATCGAACATGAATTTTTAGAGTAATAATATGAGAACTAAAGATGAAAATAAATATCATAGTAGAATGTAAATTCTCATGCATATTTGGATGTTGAAGTGGCTTTTTATTGTGCATGATTGCATGTTGTGGTGAACCTTTCTTCATGCATGTTGAATGATGAGGTGGCATGCTTGCATGTTTAGAGAAATAGGCTAGTGGGGGCTAGTTATTTAGATATAGAAGATTAAATTCACAAGGGTAGCTATGCCGATAGCAGATTGTAATAAACAATCAGAGTGTTTTTTAGCAAGTGCTATTTGTACCCTGTAAGGTGGATATTATGGTACTAGTGCACTACACTTAGATAGCTTCAAAGGCTGAAGCTGTCCAAGTTCAAATGACTTCGACACTACGCAAAAGTCAACAAAATGACAAAGCTACCAATATTTATATCCATAGTGCATTACCACTTCCATGTCCAAAGTAGAGAAAAAGATCATGATTCCTCAGGGCCAAGACGAGCTCTTCAGCTGTTGGAGCATCCCCAGCATTTCCCTGCATGCCATCAATGCATCACAATTATATGCTGGTGGTTGTTTTAAGAACAATCCAAATTTATCCTTTAACAAAGCTTGCATCATTCTTGGATTCATGGCCTAGCCATTTATATTTATCATTTCTGGAGTGTAAAGAGAGCAGTAAGTTTACCACTTCTGCATGCCAAACCACGTTTTGTTTTATACAACACATGTAGTAGAATTTTTCTTTTGCAATATACAGAGTGAGAAAAAGGATGTTTGAACAAGAGTGAGGATATCATTGTTACCTTCCACTCATAGTTTCTAAACAACTGATAAAATTCTTCTTGTGTGCTGATCAAATCACCACTAGGATTCAACAGATAGAATGCATCGAAAGGGTCAATAACAGGAAAAGGAGGGGCCATGGCACTGGCATCTTTGTGATGATTAGTGCTTCTAGTCAATGCTAGAAAGATGCTTCTCATTGATGGCATGCGGTATATTTCTTGATTCCTTAAAGCAGGCAAGTTCTCCCAAGGAAGCATCTGCATTCAGCCATTGTATGTAGAGGTTAAAGAAGATATATGATGGGTATCGTAAAAAGCTGCTACTGGCAATATTGCTAGACAAACAATACATGCTAAGATGATGCAGTAACTTCAAGCAGACAGTATGGGGTTGTACCCAAGCAACATACATGCTAAGATGACTGAACTTTACCTATGGAAGGTCTAGCCTTACACTGTTAATTTCATTCATTGTTTAATTATTTATCACAAAAAAGAATTACATTAGAGCACGTCAGGTTAGATGCAGATGACACAGCATTCATGGTAATTATCCCTTCCAGCAGCTAATCAGTAAAGCAGAACATCCATCAAAACTTATAACGCAGAGCTAAAAAGACCTTTTTAATAACAGAAGTAGACAACAATAAGGATATCATGTTGCTCACCTGCACATCAGTATCCAGGACTAAAATGACCGGATTTCTTTCAATTGGCTCAGATAGCTCATCCACTATACCATTGCACAAATGCTCGAGGGTCACCAGAGCTTCACCATCAGTCTGGCAACAGAAGGCTCTAAGTCTATCTCTTCCGCAACACCCTCCCCTGCCAAAGTAACTTTTGTATGATATAAGTTGAGAAACACATTCTTTCAATTCATCCACTGATGCAACCCCACCAAGGATGACCTTGATGAGTGCTGGATCTACTTCAAGTTTAAATTCTGACTCCAGAGCAGTGAATAGATTTTCCAGCACTGCCTTGCTATGTTGGTCAGCTAATTGGTGGCCCAGGAGAAGGCATTTCCAGGGTCCTAGCCACAATTCTTCAATGTTTCTGTTCAAAACCATGAACAAGATATCAGAACAAAGGAAAATGATTATTGAAATATAATCTTATCATGACAACACAAATTTTCAATAATGTATTGAGCAAGATATCTAGAGTATCGTTGTAAAATATATACAGCTTTCCGTATAACAGACAGAAGAAATCTTACTCCAACATCTCACTAAGGTCATCATTGAGCTTCATTCTATCTGACCACCACCTTATGGCGTTTGCTTTTCCATCCTCTGGAATGTGGGTCGCACCAGAGAGGGATCTAAAGTTATCCTCAAGTAGCTTTTTGAAAGTTGGAGCCACATAGTCTATTATAGTGTAGCTCCAAGGGCACTTCCATTCCTTATCTGATGTTCTAGTTGGATTATCCAGTTCTTTGATAGAAGAGTCTCCATTCTCTGCTTCTGTCAAACAAGAAACATGTGAATAAAAAGTGCAAGAGACCCAATATCAACTCATAGTACGGTATGCAATCACAACAGGAAATCTACACACCTTTCGAAATAGGATCCACTGGTAGAAGCATCGTGGTAGGCTTGTTTGTTGAATCAAACCTTGAGATCAACATCCAAGCAGGAAAAGGGGAAGGGAGAAGAAGTGTTTCCCCAAGAACATTCACAATATCACCTCCAAGCATACTAATGCACACAATTGGTACATCAGGAAGTTCATGGAAGAATTCAATCACATGCTTTTCAAGATGTTCCATGCCTGCCGATGAAAACCTAATATAGAAATTGTAGTTTAATTATGAATGTACATACAGCATATGAAACAATAAATCAGCAAAATAAATATTTAAAAGTTTAAACCTTAGAAACTTTGGAACTTCATCTGTCTTGTCTGTGAGATCTCCAGTGACACCCTAAAAATGCAAAGGGGAAATTATTAGAAAAAATGAAGAGTGCTACTATTTTAACCTGGGTGTGAACTTAGAATGGTACAAACCTTCGATTCTGTTTTTCTGGGCAATGCTTGTAAGCTCGCAAGGTAATGGCAATTGAGATAAGTTCCAACAGAAGTTTGGTGGAAGTATGCGGCCCAATGATTCAAAGAGAGAGATCCCTTGGAATACAAAGGTAATTGGACCGTGGAATCTATCGTTGATAGTAAGAATATGCATGTAAGTAGCCTGCAAACCTGCAACAGGGGAGTTGCATTTCAACACAGGAGCCACAAAAGGGGAAAAAAATAGGCTTACTTCAGGAGCAACTCACAAAAAGGTAGAATAGATATTACGCACTAAGCATTTAAAATTACAAGAGCACATGACTGAAGGATATCACAGACCTCCTGGAGAAGTGAAGGACTCTCTCCAGATAGCACAAAAGCTTTCAGCAACCATGAAACAACATCAGACATTTGTACACTACAGAAGCTGCAGCAACCATCCCTGCAGATAGTGATGCAATGATGACAGTTATAGCAAGGGTCGTGAAATGCTACAATCAGAATGTTCTGCACGTGAAATGCACAACTGGGAGTTGATGAGACAAACCTTGACTGTTCTGAAAGGAAACCCTTCAGCAAAAAGGAACTCATACTACATAGTATTTCTGCACGCTCTAAAGAAAGAAAATCACCAGTATTTTCATTCATGATCAGTTCAACTAAACGAGGCCCATATGTTCTATAACACCCTTGAGGAAGAGATCTGAAATACAACAATGATATGCACTGCCAGTAGATACTATGAACTTCATGAGCTCCATGTTTTCCACCCTGAGCTCCCAAGGTTCTTGCTGCAATAGGCAACACATCAGGACTGAACAATATGAAAGAATTAAGGAACTTAACTAAATAATAACCAACAGGTAGCTCAATCACAGAAGAAATTAGATCAAGCTACTTAAACTACATGATCCATACAATTTCCAAGTATCATGTGTAGAAATATGGAGTGTTATATGTGTGTTGTGAGAGCTTTCAGGCAGTGCCTACTTGCACAACTTGCGTAAGAAACTTAGGCTACTATTTGTTCCACTGGCACAGTTGTGGCTCGCCACACTTTTCTAGCTCCACGGACCACGTTCATGTACTAATAGCTGAGGTCGCTACACTTGTGTTTTGACATAGAAGCACCATGTCACCAAACAATGAGGTCCCTTAGCCTCCATAGCCATGTGAAACCCTCAACTGTGTGTCTCTTAACTGCAGTATAACACATATTGATTTGAGGCATTAACAGAACATGAACAAAAAAATAGTACCTGTCTTTAACAGAAGCGACACAAGATGGCGTCGGCGAATGCAGTCTTCTCTGAACTGCAGTATATTCTCAATGCACTCAAAATTGAGTGAATTAACAAAAAGGCAGCTCCAACATCCAAACATATTGCATATGTCATCTCTGTTGCGGCCAACACCATCAAGGGAACAGTTTAGCTTCCCACAGACCAAACCATCTGTGGACAATTCCTTGCTATAAGATATGTCATTTTTGCTATTCAGTTCAGCCAAGTCTTTTTCACTTTTCACATGTGCAGTTCGCTTACTAGATCGGGTGGTTCTAGTCTTTGCATGAGCTGACACATTCTGTTCTTTAGCTAAACGTAATGAAGTTCCAGATGCCCTCTTAACTTTAACATCCAATGGTGGAGCACTTTCGGCACTCTTCAAATTCTCCCTTTCAGATTTTAATCCCACAAGTTCATCGTACTGGTCAATAGGTACCTGACTGAACAACAAACAAGGAGTACATGGAGGTAAAACTCCATCCTTGGCTGCTAAGGGTTCTTTCCCATTATTACAAGCTCCACGCTTGGTTTCTGCAATAGAATCTTTGCTGTACAACATACAACTAGTATTAACTTTATCACAGGATCCAGCAGAAAAATCCAAACCAGAGTTATTCAATTTCTCCACGGCAGATTGATACATGCCTAAAGCACTAGACAAATTGCCTGTTGATTGTTTCTGCAAGTCTTTCTCAAAGAGATTCCAAGACAGATCTCCAGCTTGCACATCAACTGATATCGGCAGAGTCAACTTGCATGTCTTGCATGAAATGAATTCATCATTTTCTGCAAGGAGGTCCTTAGCATGTTTAAGCTCACCCTCAGCGGCATCCCATAGCTGTCTCTTGTGGTATATTTGACCTAAAACATGAGACAGAATGGACAGATGAACAAAAGAACAATGAAGTAATAGATAGATCATTAATAGATGTACGTACCTAACACTGATGTAAAGACAACAGCAAAAATTGGTAGTCCTTGGAAAGATGATATCTCCTTTCCTATCCGTAATAAAACTTCTGCTTCGGCACCATTGCCAATCAATTCATGCATCACAGCAACCTGAGTACGTCGTGAAAAAACATGAATAATATGAGAATGTCTGTAGCCTACTTGAGGCCAGGTTTTACACTAAATGATTGCGGTACTACAACAGCCAGAGCAGTGTCAACACGAGACATCGCTCATAGGTAGAATTGACTCATGTTACCATGTGATAGATGGCTACGGTGGTACACATATTCCACCAACTCCTTTAATCATTTTGCTGGTACTGAAATTAACACATACCACACTATTGACATACCTGTAATATGCTCTCAAGATAACATCTAAGTACATTCCATGGGGTAAGGAAAGAATCTCTCATGCTGCTTGGCCTGGTGCAATCTGGCCAGATTCCAGCCATCGTTGGTCCCCATGCTTCAAGTGAAACAAAGCCTTGCCCACCAGAATATTGGCTTTCCCCACTTACAAATTTGCCCAAATTAAATTTGAACTTCTTTTTTAGGAGCTTCTTGCGCAATTGGAGAGCTTCTCTTCCATATGAAATGGCCTGCAAAAATACAATAAAGGATGTTCTAATTACAGGGAGGCTAAACTATAGAGCAGTTCCACATCAAGGAAATTTCATAATAACTGGAGATTTTCCACCAAGGTAAATTGATGAGAAAGAAACAGATTACCTGGAGAACTTATCCTCTTGACAGAAGTCTTTCTGACAAATCATAGTATATACAGCCAGCCAGATAGGTTGATTGATTGCCCGAAGGACCCTGCAAAATCAAACAATACAAGATGCATCAAAAAACGAAAAGACGATGCATACTACATTACTGCAATGCAAGAAATAAAGCTTACTTCAGAAACCAGAGATGATGCAACTTTATCAATCTCATCAACACTAGCATTGAAACCAAACTGATTTCCAAAGGAGTGTTCACATGATTGAGAAAAGAAATCAACAGGCCACAGCCGCTGAAGAAACATAGTAAGAGAAGGATAATCTTCTTTGAAACAGTTTCTCCAAAATATTGTATTGTGGCAATCAACACCAAGATACCGTGCCACATAAGAAACAAAATTCTGGTCCATTGGGAGATGACAGCACGCATGATTAAGGCGCCCGTTGATAAATAACATGGAGAATAACTTTTCTAGGGGTAAGTTTTCTTGCTTCCATATCATTATGATAAGCTTGCACAGTTCAAACTGAAGCTCAAAGCAGCCCTGATATAAAGTAAAAGCACATAATTATCTTGCTAAAAGCCAGCAGTTGCATCTTATCGAACCTAATAGTTTTTAGCATGGCCTTTACCTTCATTGCCAGCAAATCAACCAGGGAACAAAGAAGTGGTACAAGAGTTTTGGATTGCTGCTGAAAGATCCCACCAGGAGAACAATGATCCAAAGTACCCATCTTTGACCACAGGCCAACAACACTCCTAGCATTATCAAAGATTACCTATTCGAAAAAACAAAAAACCATAAGCAAACAAAGCAGAGGCATGTTATAGCTAATATACAAGTGACTGTACAAGCAATTCATATGAAGCAGTTACCTTGCCGCCATGATTGGCTTCCTGGGCACAATGTGCATGCAGGCAATATGCAATAGCCAATTCATGGATCACAATTGCATTGCCTTGAGATGAATCCAGTAAGATGCCTTGCTGGTTTGATGTAAGAAAATGAATCTTAGATATCCCTTGTGGTATACATAAGAAAACAGGACAAGAAGGGGAGGGGGGCTTACCAGTAAAGATATGGCTTCAGATAAGGACTCAAGACAGTTGCTTATGTTTTGCACCCCAGATCCACGGAGTATACATGCCTTCCTAACTAAAACCTTTGATCTGTCCAGATAATATTCTTTTGAACAATATATTTCATTCAATAGAATATCTACTATTCTATGTTGCATATTTGCACAGAGCATGGTCACACGAGATTCTCCATATGCTAATAATTCCTGCAAAAACCAAAGCACGTTGAAAGCACTTCGCATCAGAATGAGATCAAAATACAGATACACCATTGTTAATCTTAACAAAACAGAATTTGATACCTGCTCTACGATTAAGCCTATGAACTTCATTGGCAAGGGAGGCGAGCAGCCCATAAGAGAGTGATAGAGAAGAGGAGCACTATCCACTCGTTGGTAATCTTCAAAATCCTTAAGTGTTATCTAAAGTTTGCATAAGAAAATAAATGAAACCACATCAACAAAGTGTTTGAAGCGGGATAGTTTCTCTGGGTTTTTTAATGATAATACCTTCACCCATAACTTTATCAGAGCCAAATAGCTTTCGTGATAATCAGATGTGTCACCATAAACAAAAAATTCAGACAGGCTCTTCACAATAATACCACGTATCGCTTTTGAGCCACATCTATCGAGAATGCCAACCATCTTTGTTATCCTTGCAAATGCAGCTGTAATGATATCCTTCAGTGTATCTTTTGGTAGATCCTCAGTAATGATGTGACCTTCCGTTCTTGCTGATAGTCTACAGTAAGAAAGTCTGGCGTATGCCCATGTTGTTTGACAGCATAGTTCTAATGCCTTTGGTGCCTGAAGCAGTTACAATGGTCAATCATATAGAAGTCCATAGTTAAAAGCAAAATTAAGTAATAGACCAGCACCTCTTCAAGATGTCCAATATTATAAAGTGTCGCACCAATGTTACTGATGGAATGGATTAAAAATTTGAGCTCATCAAGCTTTATCCATGTACTTGAAATGGCACAACTGATAGAAGACAAGCTCTTCTGGATTATGAAAGTAAAATGCATTAGTAATAAGAATGGTATTAGAAAATAGTAAATCGGTAATTTAAACATCAATTCTCCACAAATGGGACTGGTATTGGAGACTACGCAAAAAATGTGTATTCATAATAATTTATACATGCAACAAAATGATGATACTCAGAAGTGATACAATAACAGGCTGAATCAGGGGATTCTGTAATGCATGTAATAGTACCCAGCTGTAAATGACTAAATGGTCTTCTGTTCGAACTAATAAGATTCAATATAAGTATAGGACAAGCGACTTAAGTACCTGGGTAGCCTCGTTGGTCACAAAGGAAATTTTGATCGCTGAAACTAGGGTATTCATTAAGGTTACACGTTGTTTATGCAATCTCTCCTCCTCTTCTTCAGACCTTTTCGTACAACTGTTACAGCACAAAAAAAAAAAAGAACAGCTTGCAAAATCAGAAATCACTCACTTGTTAATACTTATGATTTTATGGACTTTACCTATAAGCAACAAAGCTGGAATCAATGAATTGGTCCAGTGCCATTAAGACACAAGTCATGTTTCCCAAATTGGGGACTGTTTTTCCTTTAGAGAAGTTCTCCCAAACCACATCTGCATGCTGCAATAATAGTATCTTGCAAAGGAACTCCAAAGAATCAAGATACGCCACAAAATAAATATGCTCATGTGACTGAGAATAACTATAAGTATGTTTCTTATTGGGATGTCCGGCGTCTGTTCGACGACTTGCATATTTCCCCAAACTATCACGTTGATTGGATTTGCCATCGCTGACACAGAAAATCCGTGCTAGTGTGTCAAGTGCAGTGTTCAAAGTTTGTAGATTCTTTTCATTCTTGAGAAAATTCACTGCCATGGTCAGGTGATCTTCGCTTTCTATTTGCTGTGTACTGAAGCGTAATACAGTAGCATAGAGATGGAGAACTGAGGCGATGGGCGCGGAAATCTGTAATTTGCAAGAAAATAAATTAGTCAAAAAATAACAATGGCACTGTATGGTATGCATTAACATCAAGCATTGCTATTAAATAGTGCAGAATGTACCTCGGGAAAATAACCACCTTGTAAAAGTAGTTCTGAAGCACCAGCACATACATTCCTATTTGAAGAAAGAAAGCTTCGGAAAAAATATGCTACAAATTTCAGGAACTCGTTTACAGCTTTCGGTAAGTCATCCTGAAAATGTTTACATGATATTACGACAGTTACAATGTATTTTTGGTGAAAAAACTCATTGTCTTATAATTTTCACAGGATGGAGATGAGCAGTATGGAATTAATACACCCAGTGCAAACAATATATGAGACCCGAAGTGCACCAGAAATCTGCTTTGCGACTTAGGCCATCAGAAATCACAATGAGGTAGAATGCTTCAAGATAGAACAACAAACTGAATCAGGATTCTTAAACAGCATCTGCCGCTCCAAAGACATCTAGCACATTCAGTATCACCACTAAATTAAGGCCCCTTCTTTTGGGCTTCTACACTTTGCTTATAGGTTCCACACCGGAGCCCAAAAGAAGTCAAAATTTCTGGGTTGCTTCTCCCCACCGCCAGCCTGGTCCGCAGTGCAATTTGGCTGGGCGGAGAAGCAAAAAATTGCCAGCTTCCCGAGCTTCTTGGGTTAGAAACGAAGAGGTATATCTCATTACCCCTAATGTTTGAGCTATTTACGTCCACACTGATGGATAAGTCTGTGTACTAGGGTCCTTGTGGGGCTGCAGCACATGGTCCTTGTGGCAGTTAGGAGGATAAAGTCCTGGACCATCAAGGACTGGCTGTTAGGATAGAGTTCTGTTCTTGACCATCAAGGACTGTCAGTTAGCATCTTAGACTAGCATCTTAGACTAGCATCTTAGACTGGCATCTTAGCAGCATCTTAGCATATGCCTTGGCTGGCTAGCAGCCTATAAATATGTATCCCCATCCCCTCAGGTTGGTATGGCATTGTGTGAGAAATAAACCAACGAAAATTGTCCCAACTCTCCTAGTGTCATCCACAACTATCAATGCTCAGGTTGAAAGGTCTAACAAGTGGTATCAGAGCCTCGTTAACCTGCACCCTGAGCATTTCCTGTGAGCAGCCCAAGTCGGTAGCAGCAGCTGCTCCGTCTGCCTCTGGTTACCTTCCTCCCTCCGGACTGTCGAGCAGCAGCTCGTCTTCATCAGCCTCCTCTTCACGCAACAGCCCCCCTGCAGCGAGCCATGTCTGCAGGTCGCTCTCAGCACACGGCTACCTCGAGCATGCGGCGCCGGCAAGAGGCCGAGCGCGCCGTGGCAGAGGAGCGTGAGCGAGCGGCTGTAGCAGCGGCTGCTGCGGCGGCAAGAGTGTCGAGGCTGGCTGCAGCGGGGCTGGCAGCAGCCAGAGCGGAGGTAGAAGCAGCCAGGGCGGAGGTAGAAGCAGCAGCAGCAGCAGAAGCAGCCCGTGAGGCTACGGCGGATGCCAAGGCACTCCGCGGCAGCCCCGGCAGCTCCAGCAGCTCCGCGCCTGCGGACGACGGCGCTGACGCAGATCGCGCCAAAGTGGCGCAGGAGCGGACGGCGCAGTGGGCAGCCGAGCACGCCCGCGCTCCAGGTGGAGGCGCGCACCGCGACGGCGGCTGCAACGACCAGGACCGC